GATTTACAAGTATTTGCATTAATCGAATAAGATGACTAATGTAATCATGTTAACAATCTATAATCTGATTGGAATCTCCTTTGTGTGTGGTTTCCAATTGAATAATAATAGTTTATACTATACTTGTTTGACATATCATTAGTGGATCCTCTAACCTTGACATTGTTTATTATCATTGTTTAATCCTTACGTTAATTTTCCATCTCAAAATTCTCATCAACTTTTTTTCTTTTTCTTTTTCTTTATTATTGTTATTATTATTATTACTACTACTACTACTACTACTACTATTACTAGTATTATTAGTATTATTATTGCTATTTTTATTATTGTTGTTGTTGTTTATAATTTGTATAATTAATTTTTTTGTGGTTCAACCCCGGTTTTGTCGGATTATTTATTACTTCGACACCATTGTACTTAAAAAAAATATCAATATTTCAGTCCTGGTATAATTAAAAGATTGATCTCTTTTTTTAAGTATAGTAGTTTAGAAGCTTGGGCCCTGTCACGAAGTATCAACTCACTTTTCTTCCCAGCCTTTAAAAATTAAATAATGTTCTTACAAGTTTGAGGCTCTTCAGGCCTTCACTGCCCTGTAAATGTTGGATCTTTCATCATGTTACTTAGAAATCCTAATCTAAATTTGAACAGAACCTTAATCACCTTACTTGATAAATGCAAATCAATGCTACAGTTGAACCAACTTCATGCTGTAGTAATCACCTTAGGCCTCTCTCAAGATGTCTTTTTTATGTCAAAAATCGTTTCTTTCTCTGCTTTATCTGATTCAAACAACACTGATTATTCTTACAGGGCTTTGTTAAATCTCCAAGACCCAACTATCTTTGAATGGAACTCAGTCATTAGGGGTTATTCAAAGAGCAAGAACCCAAATAAATCCATTTCAGTTTTTGTCAAAATGTTGCAAGTTGGAATCTACCCTGATCATTTAACATACCCTTTTCTTGCTAAGGCGACATCGCGACTTTTAAGGAAAGAACTAGGGGTTTCAATTCATGGGCATGTAATAAAATCTGGGTTGGAGATAGATAGGTTCGTTGCTAATTCTTTGATTCATATGCACGGTTCTTGTGGTGATATCGTGTATGCTCGGAAGGTGTTTGATGGAACTCCTGTGAAGAACTTGGTGTCGTGGAACTCGATGGTTGATGGGTATGCAAAGTGTGGATATTTGGATTTGGCGCGTGGTTTGTTTGATTTGATGCCTGAAAGAGATGTTAGGTCATGGAGTTGTTTAATTGATGGGTATGCTAAAAGTGGGAATTACGGGGATGCTATGGCAGTTTTTGAGAAGATGCGAACTTCAGGCCCCAAGGCTAATGAGGTTACTATGGTTAGTGTGCTATGTGCTTGTGCTCATTTGGGTGCTCTTGATAAAGGGAGGATGATGCATCAATATTTGGTTGATAATGGGTTCGAATTAAATTTGGTTTTGCGGACTTCCCTTATTGACATGTATGCAAAATGTGGGGCAGTTGAGGAGGCTTTCGCTGTGTTTCGTGGGGTCTCGCTAAGAAAGAGCGATGTGTTAATTTGGAATGCTATGATTGGAGGGCTTGCGACTCATGGTTTGGTTAAGGAATCGCTTGATTTGTATACAGAGATGCAAATAGCTGGGATTAAACCGGATGAGATCACGTTTCTGTGCTTGTTAAGTGCTTGTGCTCATGGTGGATTAGTAAAGCAGGCTTCGTATTTCTTCGATGGTCTTGGTAAAAATGGCATGACAGCAAAGACTGAGCATTATGCTTGTATGGTGGATGTTATGGCTCGTGCTGGTCAAGTGGCGGAGGCATATCAGTTTTTGTGTCAAATGCCAGTTGAACCGACGGCTTCAATGTTAGGTGCTTTACTTAGTGGATGCATGAACCATGGAAAATTAGATCTTGCCGAATTAATAGGGAAGAAGCTTATTGAGTTAGATCCAGAGCATGATGGTAGATACATTGGCCTGTCAAATGTTTATGCCATTGGCAGACGCTGGGATGAAGCAAGAATCATGAGAGAAGCCATGGAGCGTAGAGGGGTGAAGAAGACTCCTGGGTATAGTTTTCTCGAGATGTCTGGAGCTCATCATAGATTCAATGCACATGATAAATCACATCCTAGCTCAGAGCAAATTTATACAATGCTAAGTTTTATTGTAAGCCAAATGCAATTTGGTGTACTTAAGGAAGGCCAAGAACACTGTTTGTATGGTATAGAGGGTATTTGAGTTAATTCTTTTAAATAAATCTTATTCAGGTTGCAAAAATTCTAAATGGTGGTTCTTATGTGCAGAATTTGTTACTTTTCTTGGTTGCTTGCCACTACCGTTCTCTCCGTTTTCTTAACCACAAGATTCTCTTTCCCCTCTGAAACTTTTCAATTAACTAACAGAAGAGCACAAGTGTCAAAGTCTAATTTCATATCCCTCCAGGCCACTAAACATACACTGTCTTAACTTCAAGTTATTATAGAATTCATTTATCCCTTCCTTATGCTACGGCCATAGAGAAAAAAGAGTTGGATCTGAAACACAGCACTGTTCTTCATAAAATAAAACCGTAGTTTCTAGATAAAGTGCATCTTAAGACAGTAGCGCAAACATGCAAAGGAATATTAAGCAGAAATTAAGTCTGTCTTAAAAACATGGCGAATTAAAATATTATAGGTACCATGCCCAACACTTCCTTGTGAGAAGCTGCTCTCCAAACCTGACAATTCTGCACAAATCACAAAACAACTCGAGTTATGAAAGGGGAACAGCAGCTAAGACTGATAGTGTAACTCTCACTAGCCATTTTTTCCTCACCTAGACACTAGAACCTTGAAGGCAGGGTTGAGCAAGCTGAAGATGGTATGGGTCAATTTGATGAGAGATGGTTGAAAGTTGCAGCACACTACTGGGTTCTCCACAGAATGGGAATTGATCCAGGACTTGCTGAGGTTCCACAGGCTTTGCTTCCATCGCTGCCTGCTGATATTCCAGTGCTACACGATGCTCCTGAATCTAAAATATCATCCATCAACCAAACAAAAAAGATTACACAACGGAGTAAAGAAATTAGATGGTCTAGACTGCATAGTTCATAAGATTCCAGCAGCTAAAAGGCCTCTCAATGAAGCATAAGGAGAAAAAACCCCTTACCCAGCGGTACATATTGCTGTTTTCCTCCTCCAACATACGCTCCTAACAGTTACAATAACAGTAAAATCAGATCCTGCTGTGGAGTTAATGTGCATCAAAGTGGGATTGTGTTTTTGAGACTAAGAGACTCACCTTCCTGCGAAGATTTTCCAGCTGCTGGTGCAGGAGCTCATTCTGCATGAAAATGAAAGAAACATGTATAAACAACTTTAGAAGGATAAAAATCTAGGAATTCATATCACAAGAGTTGACTTCAAAAAAATGTAAGGCATACTTTTTCTCACCATTGCTGGATTGTTTAGTTACCTTGCGATATCGGACCTTGTTAACCGAGCGTTCAAGTTCTTGTTCTAATTCATCCAACTCCTCGAAAGGAATAGAGCTCGTATCTTCACCTGTATAGCGGCGCATGTTAGATTGAAGACGGCGAGTCTCGTTCCTCAGCATCGCCAATTCTCCAAATAGTTGTTCCTAAGAATTAAGAAGGGAAAAGACCATCAAATGTAAAATTCATCTTAAAACTTCATGTCTGTTGAGAATATTAATTTTACCCGGCTATCGTGCTCAGGAATGCGAGTTCCAGACGTCTTCTGGTACCTCTCTATGAGTTGCTCCATCCTGCAACACATTACATTCTTTCCATATGAAACATGTGCGTGTGGTTTTATAATTATATGGTAGTAGAACATCATCACCATGAACAAGGACAAGGGTTCAGTCTGTTCTCTCTTTCTGACTATACATAAGGGAATTGATTCAAGGCAGCTCTCAAAAATGGGAAATGAAAAATGACTCCCAATTTAAGGCACACCGCAAGTTACTTTTTTCCTCCTTATATAAATATTAATTAATGACTTCATCAAAGGACTGCAATCATAACCAACCAGTGATGATCTGAGACTGAGATAACATATATTCCACACATTTCATGCACATTCTGTACTATTTTCCGCTCCTTGATGACTAAGATGAACTCTACAGAACAGAAGAAAATTGACAATCAGAAGTTGATATATTTATTAAACGATGCATGGTTGTGATCATCACAGGTAGACAGTTGGATTTCCAACTCTTTTTTCAGGGCTAGCTAGATCACAATTTACAGAGAATTAGGAGACTCAATCATTCCTTAGGATAATCAATTTACAAGATCTTGAACTGGTATTGAAAGGGAAAAAAGGGCATCAAAGATAAGCAGCCCACTAAGGAAAAAGTAAGAAGAAAAGAAAACACTTCGACAGTGGAAAACCCTAGTTTGTCAGAAGCTTGCACAGAAAGTCAAGTCCTACTCATGCTGGTCAATTAAAATCTTTAATTGAAGTTATGGGGCTGGTATTTATCAGTTGGATCAGAATGCTGGTAACAAAAAGGGCCTTCTATGTATGAAACAGATTCAAGTCATCAAATGAAGAAAATCATGAAGATCGGGTACTAGAAAATCTAAGACACAAACATAACGAAACAAAGAAGCAAAAAAAAGAAGTAATTTTTATATGGGACCAGAAGGGGTCCAACATTTTAAGAAAAATCAAGTAGAAGAAACCAGTGTTAACACACAACAAAAGCTGAGAAACATAAAGTTTGGAATGGTAGGGAGTAGTGATGAATAGAGGACCTTAAACCCTCGCTGCAGTACTGACACAACTTTCCAGTGCTGGAAAAGATGATGAGCCCGATTTGAGCATCACATAGCACTGAAAGTTCATGAGTCTTCTTCAACAGCCCAGCTCGACGCTTCGAGAAGGTGACTTGCCTTGTTGTCTGGTTCTCAATCCTCCTAATGGCTATCTTTCCGCGCCCCATAATTCTTTTGCCTTTTACTAAGGGAAAGAACAGAAGGAAGGAAGTCAGTGACCCTCTTTTCTCACAAACCTGTTTTTCTGGTTTTGCAAGAAATTAACACACAGTTCAGAAATTAGTTCCAAAAACCACAAAAAGGCATGAGAATTATAATGGAAAGTAAATGAAAAGTGAATTTGTAATAATGATGAGGAACTTGTAGCTAGAAGACACAAAGAAATGACAAATGTGAAGTAAGTTTCTGTAACCTAAAATTAATTATAACTTGGCATAATTCTCTAGCCAAGATGATAATCACAGAAGAAAGAAAACTTTCTATATTACCTATCTTTCTTTCTCTTGCTTGTAGAAAATGGAGAGTTTGTTTTTCAGAGTACTGTTGGGATAAAATTTATTAGTACTAATCTATATGCAGACTGGCTCTTTACTTGAGCAAAACTACCAAAATGACCTCATGCATGAACTTCTGCACGATCCTTGACAGACAAGAGTTGAAAAGGACTTGTTAATCTATAAACCTTTTGTTCTGTAATTCAAACCAGTGGTGATGCAATAATTCATTGGTATAGATATGATCAAATCACACAAAGGTTTCATGCGTGGCTAGTGGCATGGATTGTAATTTGATGGAAGGCATTTTCTTCCTTTTATTGTCCTGTAATGGGATCATGGACAAAAGGTTGCTGTGACATTTAACCACTCTCTGAGTCTGATCTGCCAGCCTACCTGAACTTTGCCAATTTGGGATCGTTTTGAAAATGGTCAGAAAACTAGGTTTACTAAGAAAAGAAAGGCAAGAGGTGTTGGCCACAACCCATGACCTGAAAGGTAATTTCAAGGTGTAACAATCCCGTGAGAGAGACTTGCTTGCATGGTAATTCGTATTGATGGTTATGGATGTTGAAGTGAAACTGATTTTCTACACTTGATGAGCCTTAGGGTGGCTAGGTGATGATTTTTATATGCATGATCATGCATGTAGTTGAATTATACGTATATCTTTCAATAATACTGATATGATCTCCACCGAAGGTCTTTTTCCTGGTGGTTACAAAGCAAACCCATCTTTAACTTTTGGCTTGAAAATTTCTTATACTACCACGCTCGTTTCATATGTATGATCTATTTTATAGGCGTAGGCCACATGCTTCTATTTTGGCAGATATATACACAGGGGCACATATTGTGTTGCGTGCATCTAGCTTGGCTACAATGGTGACGAGCCGGACACATTTACAAATCAAGCTGAAGAAAATGTTGTCATTCAAGATGTAAAGTACACATGCATGGATTAGCTAAATTTTGTACGCTCAAATTTATAATTATGTTTATCATCTTGTTCCATATGATGTTATGACCTTGATATATCATGATTAGCTAATGAACAATCAAGTAAAATTGTGAATGGAAGATAAATTACAATGAGCCAAAATAATTAACCCTGTAAATCTTGGTTGCTTGCAATTTCAGCTTTAGGAAATGATGCTGTGATTTGGATGTTCTTCTCAAGTTTGAGTGATGAACATGCAATAAAATGCCAATAAGCAGTTTGAGGAAGTAACACTATATCCTGTCATTTAGCAAATGATAACAATAAAATTCTGATAACAGCCCTCAGCCCTGGTTATGACCAGAGATACTGCACAAATGTTAAAATTAATATGCATAATCCTCGTTTGATATTATGATAATTTTTACCGTTATAATTTTAAAAATACAAGTTTTAAAAAAAACTTATAATTATTGTTTTTAAAATAATATATATTTAATTAAAATGATTATGAGATAGATTTTTACATAAAATAAATAAATAAATAACTATTCTTTATAAATAAAAATTATTTTAGTTTCTACAAAACTTGTAGGAGATCCGGTGCAAAAAAAATAAACTATTTAACTAATCGAACAACTTTTTATTAGATAGGATAAAAAAACAGAAGCTACTATGATACCAACAATACGAAAAATAAACCAAGTTTGCTACAGTTAACAAATGCAAACAATATGTGTAACATGAAGAAAATAACTACACACTCCACACTCCAGCAATACTTCAAAAAGTGTAAGTGTGATCTCTCAATTTATCTTAATTACTTTTAATGAGAGATTATTGTATAAATGTACTGCTTGGTCCACAGATTTCTGGGCAATGAAAAGTTGTAGTGAAACATTGATTGGTTTTTCTGTTTAGTGTGGCAATCCTTAGTCAGAAAGCACATGTTATCATTCTAAATATGGAAGACATAGTTTGAGCTACTTGTTGGCCCCCCTGTGCTTGTCTTTCATTGATGTGTGTCAACATCCATTGTATCCCACTTGGGCTAGATGCACCACAATATTAATGGCCAGCCTACTCATTGATTCCCTCTTTGTTTTCTTTATTCAAGGGAGAGATTCCCGTCTATATTTATCAAAGTTATTCTTGCCATTTATTTATTTATTATTGCCGAGAAAAAGTGCCCATTTGAGCTGTAAATTTGTAGATATAAAGTTATTTGCAAAACAGCACCATGTTATCAACAGTGATTGAAGGCTAATTAGCTTTATTTCAAGCATAAATACCATTGCCATGCATGTCAGTCTATGATGATCCTTGACCCCCCTGGAGGCTGGAGCACTATGTATTACTGTATATTTTTAATGAATTCCCAGATAACACAATGGCATGTACTTATTTGCAGCATATCATAGAGAACCAATTCAATACTAATAGTTTTAGATTTGTCATAAGAAATTCAGAAGGCCATCATCACCTCAAGAAAGGAAAAAGGCCACGTTATTAGCAGAACTTTTCTAATATCTCAAAATTAACCTTTAATGTTATAAAATTAATAGTAAGAACTACGTATTCTATTTCAATCATGTAATTATGTTCCGTAATGGTGTTTAAAAAACTAGTATTTATATTATCTAACCTAACCTAACCTAACCTATATAGTTAGATTATATAGATGTTACAAATGATATTGAATAAAAACATTCTAGCAAAATGGATATTATAAATTGTGTGGCAGGTTATAATTTTTGAAACCGGATCAAATTAACTCAATTTGTATATTTTATACTTCTTTCATCTTTATATTTGATAATTTATTAATTAAATATTTATTTTTATTTTACCTAGAAATAATTCGGATCCAAAGTTCTTGTTAGTAGATTTTTTTAATGTAACAAAAAAAAACAACTCGTTTCTTTTACTAAAAAGAAGAGAAAGGTAACTAAAATTTAATAATGATGCAATTTATAAAAATCAGATTTAATATTTGAAGTGTCATAACACCTATAATTTATATTAGTATAGATCCACCTTTAAATATAAACCCATAAAGATTAAAAAAATAAATATAATTCATGGATACATGTAATATTCACATAAATACTTTAACCTAATTTAATATATTGTAACCTAATTTAATATATTGACGGAGCTCAAGTCTTTTTTTTTTTTTTGAATGAATGAAGTATGTACTCGATGTATACACTAATCTAAGTTGTCTATATTCATGAATGCCCCATGGGCTAAGACAAACAGGAGTGCAGGACACAATTTATATTCACCAGCCTGAAGCTGTGGATTCGGACATGACATCCTAGACTTCATCAAACATTGTTCTCTGCATGATGTGTAATGCCTTCCTCATTTTGAGTCGGTCAGCCAATGTGCTGGTGTGTCCTAAACTTTTTTATTTTTTTTTTAGATTAACGTGGGTGTCCGGACCAACTTGTGCGCACCACGACTAATTCCACGGGCTCTGAAGTTAACGACCATGTAAGCTTCCAGTGGCTATCATATGAGTAATCAAGGACTCGAACCTGAGACCATAGAGAGAGCAAACCCCTTAGTCCCAAATCTTTACCACTTGACCACCACTTAGATAATTAATGTGTCCTAAACTTTTAATACGTCGAGTCATAAATATACACTATAGATGATGGATCCTAAGCTTTGAACAAATGAAATCACAAAAGCAGATAATACGTAATCTCTGGTTTGTTTTTATATTTTAAAAATATTTTTTAGTATTTTTAAATCATTTAATATATTAATTTTAAAATTAATTTTTATAAAATAAAAAAATATTATTTTAATATATTTTAAATAAAAAATATTTTTAAAACTTACCATACTTTCAAACAACTTGTAGCCATGGATCAGCTCTCAACAATTTCATTTCAATGGCAAACAGTACTGCATGCAAAAGTGAATTAAAGAAAGTCAGACTCTCTGAAACAGACAGAACTGCAGAAGAATTCTCCTTTGCCCTTTGGTCACAATTCTTGCCATTGCCATGCACATTACATATATACTTGCATCTAGAATCAAGCACTCGTTAGACAAATTCTCAGTATATTTTAAATTATTCGGCATAGAATATTACTAGTCCTGTAACCTGCAATTAATTATTAATTCAATAAAAACATGCCCCAGTTATGGATGCTTTTTTAAGCGTTATAATTCTTTTTAATTGAGAAATGTATATATATACATTTCTCAATTAAAAATTATTTACACTTCATAAGATATATTTAAAGATTCTATGAACTCATAAAAAAATAAAAAAATTATTAATGCTTATTAAATACTGAAACAGAGAGCTGATATTTCTTCTAAAAATAAAAAAAAAATTGCATGTACAAATATTTAACCCCAACTTTTCTTTTTAATCTATATAATTTTGTTTATCTTAGAAGTTTTTTTTTCCTTGCTGAGAACTAGTGATTTTTAATTTTATAAATACATCTTGGAAATACAATTTATTTATATAAAAATATAAAAAATCATATCTTTGAAACATTTAAAAAACATTAACAATGAAAACTAAAACAACATGGACATTTACCATGCAATCACACTCATTTGCACTATTTATTTATTCTAGAAATGACAAATTTGAAATTTTACTAAACCTATTCTACTTTCTTTTCTCTCTGGAAAATCCTATTGAGATTCATAAGTCACGTAATCTTTTATCTTTTATGTCTTTAAACACTTTCATTTTTTTCCACAGCATGTCTCTTTGTTTATAGACCAACAATTATATATATATATATATATATAATCTTATTTTAGTTTATATAAGATAATAAACAAAACAACTTATTTTATATAGAGTTTACTAGGGATGATACATCCTTTCTATATACAACTAATCTCTTATCTAGATTCTAGGACCAGTTAGGGTTCCTAATGATTAAAATACTAGATAGGGACTCAATTTTTATTTTTTTTACTAATAAGAAATAAGAATCTCTTATTCTTTTTTCTAATACAATGAAGATCCTGAACCAAAAAAACGATCGCAACACCACACACATACGACAAACATGAATACCATAAAGATAATTATCTTTGATAAGTTCTAAAGAGTTCGATGAAGAACTAAGAATAAGCAACCTTGTTACACATAAAATATTATTTCTGAATAATAAGAAATCTCTAAAAAAACTCTAAATACAAAATAAATAACTCTTTTTATGCTAAATAAAACA